GTCTTCCTGGAGGCTGCAGTGTGTGTCGTCAAATGTCGAGTATACATATAGTTGGGATACTTGCAGCTGCTACGAGTTTTTAGGGTTTTAGGTTTTAGGGTTTTCGGGTTAAAAAAATGTTTGCGCATGTCTAAGTGTGTGTGTGCTTATTGCATACCGAATGGCCGAATGGGCACGTCCCTTGCCTGCGCATCACAGAGATGAACGCACCGTGAATGTTACTGTATATGCGTTTTATTTTTATCTGAAACGTTTTTATCGCGAACTGTTTAGTACATAGATGAGCCCACCGCAAACGTTAAACCCACTGCAAACGTTACTGTATATGCACTTTAATTTTTATCTGAAACGTTTTTTATCGAACTGTTTAGTATATTGATGAAACCACTGCAAACGTTACTGTATATGCATAATGATTCTTGTCTGAAACGTTTTTATTGAACTCTTTCGTATATTGAGAGACCAATTGTAAACGTTTCTGTACATGCGTATTAATTTTTATCTGAAATGTTTTTATTTAAACTGTTTAGTATAACGTATCTGTAAGATTGTTTTAGTATAGAAACGAACGCCTAGCTATGTGCTCTTGAGCAAATTTTTGCCATAGATGTTGCTCTGTGAATTGATATAGGCACGCGCACACACGACTTGATCAAACGAATGCACTTGGACTTTCGTTCTCCAGGGTAATTACATCTGGATGATTGGCGAGTTTAAGCTGGAGAATCCGGAGGCCTTTTTTAGTATGTGGGGTGTTTAATAGTGACATTCAAGCGTCTACACTATCTATATATATATATATATACATGGTTCTGAGGTGGCCTATGCGGAGTCTACCTCAGTATGAAATGTGTGTTTGGTATGATCTTGCAGTTGGCCAGGGTGTGTAGCAATAGGCTGCATGTTTGTTGTAGATAGATGCATCTGTGAGGGTTTTGTCACAGATACGTCTGTGAGAATTTGTCATGTATACATTTGTGAGTGCTTGTTAAAGATAGATACATATGTGAGTGTTTGTTACAGATATATTCATATGTGAGTGCTTGTTACAGATATATTCGTATGTGAGTGTTTGTTACAGATATATTCGTATGTGAGTATTTGTTACAGATATATTCATATATGAGTGCCTGTTACAGATACATTCATATGTGAGATCCATCATGCACCCTACTTTCGGCATCGAAGCCCCCTGCTTCAAGCGCCTGCCACAGCCTAACCCTATGTAATCCTGCACAGACACGGATGGTATGGACGAAGATCAGGTCTACGAGATGGCTGACGCAGTATACAACCAATACGCTGAATACGCCAAGTACATCCTTCTGGGAGGCTCCATCTGGCTCTCCATCTACTACGTGCTCAGGTGCTTCCCGAGTTTACCTGGGTTCACTCGCACAGACACCTTTGTGCGTGAGATCAACAAGAACAGACCGCCAACGCGCTTTGGACTGTACTTCATCGACTTCATCGAGTACGAGGTAAGGCCAGGCTTGCATGCGGCTGTGTGGTAGGGTTTTAGGGGATAGCGCTGCGTAGGGGATAGCGTAGTACACACACACACACACACACCCCCCAAGTTTGAATGATTGCCAGGTGCGTGGGCAATCGTATACCTATCACAGACACTCACACTATTCTGAGAGGCTATACGGTCTGTCTATGCTTGACGTTTTGGCAAACATCGGTGGAATGCGTAAAATTACTTCAGTTCATAGAAGTCGAGCGACAACCGGTTGAGTGTGATTCCAGGACGTATTCCGGGACGTAGGACTTTGCGTAGTAGTGGAAGGATAATTTAGAAATGTCTACTCACACAGGCACGTACTGTACTACTTACATGGCTTGTACTCACGATCACAATTTGGAGTCACGAAGCCATTACACTTTCCAATAGCCGACTGATTGCTATTCCACTTTCCAATAACTAACTTATTGCCCCCCGATATCATATGTATTGTTACACAGCGGCGACGCGCGACCCCACTCCTCACACACGCTCTATCTCAAGATTTTAAGTTCCATTCCATTCTTCAGGTAAAATAAATATGCATGCCCACCTCCCCAATTCCCACCTCCCTATCCCTACCTCCCCTACTCCCACACGCACGTACATAGGGCTCCATACCGTTCATCTTTATCCCAAATATACATGCCCACCTCCTCTATCCCCACCCACATATGCACAGGACACGCACGTTCTGCTGTGGGTGGTTAAGGATTGTCTGTGGACGTATGGGTCGAATGCAGGCTACATCATCTTTGTGGTGCCTACCTTCTTTCTGTTTGCCGATCTGATCTGGAAGTGTCTGAGGCGGCGAGGGCAGCTACTGCACCTGTTCCACAACTGTTTGGTCATGGCTTGGTTGTTTGCTAACACTGTATGTCCTGTAGATGAGTATGGTTGCACCTGTTTTACAACTGTATACATATGTATGTATATACGTATAAATATGCATGTATTTTTACTATGATTCGATTTTTTTTTGTTAAAGAGCGTGTCACCTTATATATATATATATATATAATATGAGCGTATTTGTATATGTACCTTATACTTTGGTTTATGTATAGAGTGGTAGTAGTGTGCGTATGATGGATAAGAGATTTAACTAGAACAGAGGATATGATGCCCTCTGTGGAGCTGTGAGAGTGTCGCTTGAGTTCATCTGTAGAAATGTTCATATCTCCGTGGGTACAGAATGATCCCTGATTAGTATTGTGTATCGTTTAGGGTTCAGATTTATATGGTGCATTGTTTAGGGTTTTAGGGGTTGACTTTGCCCATTGGTTGCTCTACTTTAGGGTTTAGGGTTTTGTGCGGTATTACTATCAGACAGGCATGGACGTGCATGTCCACATCCTCATGCGTACCTTCTCTACCGCCGCTGTTGTCTGCACTACTTGATATCTGAGACCAACTTGTCGTTATATAAATATATATATATAAATGTGTGTGTGTGTGTATCTTCATATATGTATATATACATTCACTCACCCATATCATATCGCCCCACCAGGTGTGGGCCATTGGAGAGATGGTGTATTACGATGATGAGCTTCCGGACGAGGCGTACGAAGAGTACCATTGGCCGTCTGACGCAGGCAGTTACTCGCAACTGTATCTGCGGTACTCAGTGGGTTGGTTGTTCTGTGGGTCACTGATTATGGTGGCCCTATTCCACCTGTGGTGGATCACTGTGACGCTCATGGGCAAGCTTGGTCCCAGGTATGCGTGTGTATATGTATGTATGTATGGAGAGAGTGATATAAGTAGGTTACGTGTAGGCAACGATTATATATAATTTGTATTATATTATATTATATTATATTATATTATATATACTCGCACATTATA